CTTGCTCAGGGGTTTTGTGGAGCGTGGGCATTGCAGTGACGCGCTTGGGTTGTTATCCTCAATGCTGAGAGAAGGTATGTGCTCGCAACAAAACCTGCTACTCACTGCACTGCCTTGAAATGTGCGGTCCCGCTCACGTACTGCTACCAAAACCTCAAATCCATGCCCTTCATTGTAATTGTAGATTTGTAGTGTGTCATGCATACCATATTTTATTTTAGTTAAAAGCAATAATATGATATACAAAATTTGGGACTCCCCGAGTGTACAATTTTTTCACATAGAAATGTACCAGACAGGGTAACCAAAATTGTTACTCATCTCTGAGGTAACGTTCACATAAATTAGCACTTTCAACCAAAAAATAAATAAATCCCCTGTTCAATTTCTGTTTGTCTTTTAGGCTTGTTAGTTTAAATTTCTGTTATACTGTTGTTTGAATATTGGAAGTGCATTTTTTCTTTGATTGTTAACCATTGACATAAAAAAAACTTGACAGAAATGCTGCCTGACCATTTCACGTTTGGAAGTGCTCTAAAAGCTTGTGGAGTAGTCAGTGTGCTCACTAACACGGAGCTGATTCACACTTGCATAATAAAGTTGGGCTACTGGGGTGAAAAGGTTGTTATTGGATCACTTATTGATGCTTATGCAAAATGTCGGAGCATGAAAAGTGCACGAGTGATATATGACTCCATATGTGAACCAGACCTTGTGTCGTCTACTGCGCTGATCAGTGGGTACTCCATGGATAAAAACCATACTGAAGATGCAATGGAGCTCTTCTGCAAAATTTATCGTAGGGGTTTGAGGATTGATGGTGTTCTGTTAAGCTCCTTGCTTGGCATTTGTGCTAATGTGTCATGTCTCAGATTTGGGACACAAATTCATGCTTACATGTGCAAAAAGCAGCCAATGGGAGACGTGGCATTGGACAACGCTCTAGTTGATATGTATGCAAAGGCAGGCGAATTTTCAGATGCCAGGCGTGCTTTTGATGAAATGCCCTGCCGAAATGTGGTCTCATGGACTTCACTCATTACTGCCTGTGGGAAAAATGGTTTTGGGGGAGATGCTGTGAGCCTTTTTGAGAGGATGGTGGAGGATGGTGTGAAGCCAAACGATGTGACATTCCTTTCTCTTCTGTCTGCTTGTGGTCATTCTGGTCTGATGAGCAAAGGGATGGAGTATTTCACTTCCATGATGAGCAAGTACGGTATTGATCCAAGAGCTGAGCATTTCAGTTCTGCTATCGACCTTCTTGGCCGTGGGGGTCAGTTAGAGGATGCGTGGAAGCTAGTGGAGAATGTGGATACTGAACCCAACTCCTCAATATTGGGCGCTATGCTTGGAGCTTGTAAAACGCATGGAAACATGCCTCTTGGAGAAACTGCAGCCAAGAATCTTATAAGTAAAGGTGCTGAGAGTTCTGTACACTATACCATGCTTGCAAACATGTACGCAGAATCTAATTTATGGGAGGATGCTCAAAGTGCAAGGAAATTAATGGCTGAAACATCTGGTGGCAAGGAAGCTGGTTGCAGTGTTCTCTGAAGATTACTAATAAAGTCTTGCTTTCCAAGATATTCAGATAATGGTCATATGCCCTGATAGATGCACCAAATGCATCTGGATTACCCTCAGACCTTTGTCCACAATGAACCTGATCAATCCAATATGTAGAGCCTCCAGATCTTTGTAAACTCTAACCGACTTCAGAATCTTGCCCGTTTGATTAAGCAGTGAGAATCTAATGACTTATCAGCAGCCATCATGTTCGTTCAGGGTAAGTGCACATTGTGCTTAATATTAAAAATAAAAACTTTTGTATAGTTTGTTCATTTGGATAATCTGTTGGGTTACATTCCCTGTGAATGCATATCTTGCAAATTTTACTAACTGTAAAAGATTTGCGGATGCATGTTTGTCTGATAAAGTCTTGTCAGTATTCTCAATTATGTCCGTTGTATTGGTTGGACAGTCACAGGCTTATGGTCTTAATCCTTTTTTTTGACTTCCAAGTTGTCTCTATCTGATACCTATAAGAATACTGTAAGAACATGTAGTGGATAAACCAGTTTGTGATTCCCTTCTGTACATAACTATAGTGCGATACCCTGTTTTTCCACTCTACGCTATCCATTTCTCTTTTGATGTGAGTACAAATATTGAGTAGTTTTTCAAATAGATGGATACATGATTTATGACTAATCTGTTATCCTTCCTTTATATGTTGAATCTGACAGTGCCAATATCATGGCCTTGATCTATTGCATACCCTGTGTCGGTGTCAAGTGAAGCAGATCTTAAACTTTTAAGTCTCGAGAAACCAAAAGCCACCACGTTTCAGCTACCCAGTGAATAATTGAATATATTATTCGAACCCATGTGCTGTTGACTTAAGTTTTTTCTGTTGAGTTGATTTACCTAGTAAAATATGCTAATCACTACTTTTGATCTAAACTGCAAAAATATTTTTTTTGTATCATTGTAGAAGATCTTATATTTGTTGAAAATGGCATACATTTTTTCAGTATCATATTGTAGTATAGTCCTGACTGATACACCGATCTTGGTTGTCAGCTCGATCATGACGAATCATAGAACTGAAACGTCTTCTTTTTTTAACTTGCATGCATTTGACGAGCGGTTGCTGCTCTATGAACTACCATAATACGGTTAGTCTTCTTTCAAATGGCATCTAAGGATAATTATTACCCAGAATCAGTCGTTCCCTAAATAATATTAAAATAGGGGATGATAACAGCTAGCAACTTACAGTTCAAGTATTTGATTTGGCACTTTTTAGGAACATGCCATAGTCACATCTTAAGAGTGTCGGTTACACAAGTGCATGGGCCACGATGGATGGTTATCATTCGTCCAATGCCTGTTGGCTAAAATAGCTCGTAACTGGCAGATTACAGATCCTTAACTTCTGGAACACTTGCTATCCCATCATTACTCCCTAGATGCCTCATCCAAGACTATTCTACAATTCTTTCACATCCACGCTAACCACAGAATTCCTGAAATACTGATATTCAATCATATGCTGAAGTCTTAGCCAGTCTACTGGCTGTGTGATATAAGAAAATAGCACAGCTGTAAAGGCATGTAGGCTTCTAGAGCCACTATACTAATATTGAGCAAAATGGCTTGCTTACTATCACTTATGTGCAAGCTAAGCAACTAACTATATAAAGCAGGCTGTGAGGTGAGCTTAGTTCACCTAAAAAATCAGCAAGGGCATTCACAACATGGTTTACAGACTCCTCTTTGGATTTCTCCTTCCTCTTGTCTTACAGCCCTCCTTAGTGTTATGCAATCCACCAGAGCTGAAGGTTGGCTTTTACCAATACACATGCCCGTATGCAGAGGTCATTGTTCGCGATGAGATTGCCAGGATCATCTCCCACGTCCCAAGCCTCGCTGGTCCTCTGCTTCGCATGCACTTCCACGACTGTTTTGTGAACGTGTGCACACACCTTAGTCTCTTCTGAACTGCTTCAGTTGAATTTAGAGATGTACTGAACTGTTTGTGCTGTGCAGGGTTGCGATGGTTCTATTCTGCTTGATAGCATACCAGGATTACCATCTGAAAAGGAATCGGAACCGAACCTCAGCCTGCGAGGCTTCGGCACGATTGACCTTGTCAAGGCTAAACTGGAGCAAGCCTGCCCTGGAGTGGTCTCATGCGCTGATATCCTAGCTCTCGTGGCAAGGGATGTTGTACTACTGGTAAGAACTAGCAGTTCTGTTCATTAATTTTGATTTTATTCTTGAAGTAAGAGAAGTTGACATAGTTTGGAAAAATGGCGGGGATAGGATGATTCAGGCCAACAGTGGTGGCAAAACCCACAGTTTTGACTGGCTTCGCTGAGTTTGATCATCTTTTATGTATTTACTGGACAGTACCTGCTCTCTTGCTAACCCAGCTTTCATTTTCACTATGCAACAGACCCATGGGCCTTACTGGAATGTTCCAACTGGGCGGCGAGATGGGTTGAGATCGGTGAAGGATGAAGCTTTGAACAACCTACCTCCACCTTTTTTTGATGCCACTCGTAATCTGAACCAGTTCTTTGTCCCGAAGGGTCTTGATGCGAAGGATCAGGTGGTTCTGCTAGGTACTATATACTATTCTTCAGGAACTAAACTCGATGCATGAGCTAATAAACCAGTGGATCTTCTCTCCTAGTTTTGTGTAGCCTATGCTCTTCTGATTCTTCTCTGTTCTAATTTACTTGCACTTCGCCGATCCCAATAAATCTCTAGTAGCATTCCTCAATAAAGGTGCTCGTTTGCATGCACGACTAAGCAATGGGTTAATCAAGCAAGGCCTTACGCTGTATGCATGTGCCAAGTCAACAGAGACGGGAAAACTAATCTTTGTCGGTTCTTGTAGTTAAACTGCATGATGCAAAACCAAGAGTCACTTTGTTCTGGTAGAAAAACAAAGTATAACTCCTTATTCGAAAACCAGTACTCCCTCCGTTTTTATTTACTCTGCATATTAGCTTTGGTCAAAGTCAAACTTCATAAAGTTTGACCAAGTTTATAGAAAACAATATAGACATTTATCATAATAAATCTATAAGATGTGAAAACACATTCAATAATGAATCTAATGTTGTTGATTTGTTATTGTATATTTTAATATTTTTGTTTATAAACTTGGTCAAAGTTTGCAAAGCTTGACTTTGACCAAAGCTAATATGCGAACTAAATAAAAACGGAGGGAGTACGTACTACATTATTTGCTGTTCACTTTGCACGCGCAGAAGAGATGGGGTAGAAAACCTCTGTAGTTCACTATTATAAACTAGTAATGCGTTGCGATTTTTCTGATTGTTGCAAACATTGCAGTTCAAGCTCTGTAGGAAACCATGGAAACCGACACATTCTAACTTGTTCATGCATTGACAGGGGGGCACACCCTCGGGACCTCCCACTGCTCGTCCTTCTCGGACCGTCTGTACAACTTCAGCGGCACGTAGATGCCGGACCCGGCGCTGGACAGGCGGTACGTGCTGCGCCTGAAGAGCAAGTGCAGGCCCGGCGACACGACGGCGCTGGTGGAGATGGACCCGGGGAGCTTCCGGACGTTCGACGCGAGCTACTACCGTCACGTCGCCAGGGGGAGGGCGCTCTTCACCTCGGACGAGACGCTCATGCTGGACCCCTTCACCCGGGACTACGTCCTGCGCCAGGCGTCCGTCGCCGCTGCGGGCGGCTACCCGGCGGAGTTCTTCGCGGACTTCGTGGCGTCCATGGTGAAGATGGGGAACATGCAGGTGCTCACCGGCGCGCAGGGGGAGGTCAGGCGGCGCTGCGGTGCAGTGAACCCGATGGGCATGTAGGCCGCCGCCGGTGGTCCGTGATCATCGGCCCGTAAATTATCGAATGTCTGTGGGTATTGTATAATTGATGTGTATTACGCGTGTACATTGTGTGCATCATTGTCTTTCTTCATTTGCCTTGTTTGTTCGTTTGTACCATGTATTCAAACTCAAATAAAAATGTTTGCTTGATTGATTCAGTGAAATAATGTCCTCTGCCAACCTCGATGACTCGATGATTCGATGAACACACTACGACAGAGAGAATTGGAGTTGTATTTTCCGATTATTCTCGGCTGCGTACACGGTACACGTACATGAAACTTGAGGCTGGGATGTGCTTTCTGGCAGAAGAGTTTACTTGGTGCTCTGGATATTCTATTTCCGTAGGCCGTAGCCAGCTAGCTAATGGATTGAGCATAACAGCAAATTAAGCTAGCTCCACATGGATGGGCATGGACCACGCCATCCACTCGTCAACTCTGCAAGCTTGTCTCACACTCCTTGCACACTTCCTTTCCAGCCTTTTGGTCATTTTTATCAGGTAAATTTGTTAAGGCTAGCTGTGAGTGGTAAAAAGCAGACAATTACTTTAATAGTTTTATGAGACCATATATTTACAATAATCTCTGACAACTAAGAATCAGCAGGATATACCACGTGACACATGTGGTAAGCAATCCAAACAATTCAAAAAAAAAATCAGCGATATATATATATATATATATATATATTTTTGCTCGAAATCCTGTTGTATACACCATCTTCTTTTGCTCGTGCAATGATTATCATCCCAAGTTCCGAACCGAAAGACGAGGAACCGGAATGTACCGTACACCAAAGCTCGAAGAAACCTAGCTGGGTTAGCTACCTAGCTTCGGCATCTCCATCGCTTTCTGTTCCTTCCTTGCTCTTTCTTCAAAGAATCACCACGGGCCAGTATAACACCCGAAACAACGTCGTAATCAAACCTGTGCATGCACGCCAATGCGCGCGTACGCACGCACGTAGGGCGACCAGAGGCCGAACAAGGGGGCAGGGGCACGCGCGCGCGCCGCCATGCAGCCGGCGCCGACCGCCAGGGCCGCCGGCTGGCTCCACCGGCCGCTCCCGAGAGAGCGGCCGCACCTGACCCGCTGCACCAAGATCGTCTGCTCGGCGTTCCTCACCCTGCTCCTCCTCGCCGGCGTGCTCCTCTTCGTCGCCTACCTCGCCGTGCGCCCGCACCGGCCGCGCTTCCACGTCACCGCCTTCTCCGCCGCCGGCATCCAGCCGGCCGGTGGCGCCAACGCCGCCGTGGTCTTTTCCGGGCAGCTCTCCATCCGCAACCCGAACCAGGACGTAGCCTTCTTCTACGACCGGCTCTACATGTCCGTGCTCTACCGCCAGTACGGCGCCGTCGTCAAGGACCACGACCTGGCCGGCGGGGCGCCCATGTACCAGCCGCCCAAGACCACGACGCCCCTCGCGTTCGAGGGCGTCGCCGTGCCGGCGGGCCCCGCCACGGCCGACATGGCCAGGGCGGCCGCGGAGGCAGGAGGCGCCGTGGAGTTCACGGTGAAGGTCCGGTCGAGGATCCGCGCCAAGGTGGCCGTCTGGGGCTTCCACTGGCACCCGCTCCACGTGGACTGCGACGTGGCCGTGGGACCCGACGGGCAGCTGCTGCCGGAGGCCCGGCAGAAGCGTTGCGACATAGACTTCTTGTAGGTGTAATCCGCCTGCATGAGTACGGACATAACAAGCGTTTAGTAACATTCCAATGTAATCTGCCGGCAAGTAATTAACATCATATACTGTTGAAAAACAACATCTTCTATAGGTTAATTATAAGATTAAGACAAACCAAATCCTTGATTGTGGGGCCCATCACCTGTTGCTTCTCTGTATATTTCCATTGCCTCCTCCATGACTTTGGGGTGTGATAAAAGCCATGCTCTTCTCCTCATTGATGGATGAGTTCTGAATGGGAAGAAAGAGAGCAAATCTGTCAACGCCGACTCGCCGTCCATCCTTCCTGCCTTGCCAAAGAACAAAGGGGCAGCGTGGGGGTCGAAACCAGCAGCAGCCAGTAGCATCATTCCAATGTAGTCCGCCTCTAGCTCATTCCTACAATACGGAGTAGTACATGTCATGTAATTAACATCATACATTCATACTCTTACAAAACAACATCTTCTAATTAACACCAAGTAAATACTTGCATACACACACACACTTTAAGATGCATGTATGAACAAGGTGGGGTTAAAAGAAGTGATGAAATTGATATACGTACCTTCGTAGCAGTGGCGCCACGAGGAGGTCGGTTGGGAACCACAACCTGAATATTTGGATCATCTCAGACGCGTGCCTCGCAATAACATGTCCAACCTACATATATATAGAAACCAATGAACAATACTATCGGCTTTGAAAATTAACAACCTCAGTAATCCAAAACGAACGAACAAACAAGCATATGTATGTACCTCATGCGCGATGACGGTGGCAATCTCAGCATCCGTGCTGAAATGATCAAGTAATCCCGTGAAGACTATAATCTTACCACCACCCTCAAAGCAATGTGCTCTCTTGCTGTGTACGGCAACTATCACCTCCCAATTGAGCTCGTCGATCCAATCCAGACACGTCGCCATGTGTGGTGGTTCCCGTCCTCGTTGTTCTATCTTGCTCTTGATGGACAAGCCACGACGGATAGCGCGGATGATCTTCGAGCCAATGGCGTGGACACGGACACTTTGGTGGTGGTGTGGGTCTACGATCTCGGAGGCATGCTCCTTCTTGAAATTGGCAAAGCGGACCTCTCCGCTCACGCGCGCTGTTCTAGTAGAGAAGATGACCTTGTGAGTGCGGTTGGTGTAAGGCACGGTCGCGACAACAAATTCACGGTTGATGATCTTCCTTGCGCCTTCGCAAAAAATTCGGGGCGGCACAATTTCTGTCATGGCCCTCCGCAGCGTGTGGGAGTACCCGCGAAGAGCCAAGTGACTGGTCACCGACCTCCAGAGGGAAGTACAATGGTCCTGAGAAACACGCAATGCAGTGGCCATAGACATAGGTTGACAGAAGAGTTGCAGGAGACGGAAGGCTAGCTGCAACGAGGAGGGAGAGCGCAAGCTCATCAGGCGCGAGTACACTTGGTGTGTTTTTCTATATATAGGCGGCTTACCTCTGTTTTCTCGAGACAAATACAACAACCTCCTACGTGCGTGTGTAAACTCGTACGTGCGCGCGAGGCTCTATTATATGGCCGCTGCCCATCGCCGTAGAGTACGACTCGGATTTCCTGACGGATACTCAACGGGCTTCCGTTTCGGGAACCATATGTACATCCGTCATAAATTAATTGTCATTTTTTTTGCGGGGATAAATTAATTGTCTTAATTGTCTTAGACTAGAAAAAAGAGATTTGTCTAGATTTTTTTTTGAAAATAAAATTTGTCTAGATATAGATGGATTTAACACTAAAACGTGTAAATAAATACAGATAATTTGGAACGAGGAGTATTAGTTACTGATGGGTTGCACATGCTATTCGCGCACGCAATTCTGCTCTCCATTTTCAAAAAGAATCGCGTGACCATACTGATGAAATTCTTACGCTGACATATACACACACCAATGTTCCCTGGCCCCCAAAATGAAATATACCGATGTTAACTCACAACTCCAACTTTTTTTGCATGATAACACGTGTCTCATTTATATCATAAGGATCATAGTACAAGTCACATACATACCGTCCTGACAAAACTGAAAAGACAACAGAACGCTAGCCTTTGCACACAGGAACACCAGCCAAGAAGTAAAATTACAAACAAGACTGAAGAATCCTATGAGCTTGACACCAACGCCCGTCACCTGCCTCCGGCACCACCATAGCAGCCACCAAAGGAGAAAATGACGGATCACCTTCACACCCGAGCTCGACGCGGCTCCATCGCTGATATGCAGCTTTGCGGACCTCCAAGGTGGCTCGCCAATAAAGGCGAAGCCATTGCCGTTGAACGAATCAGACCGGGGCAACACCCCGGACACGCCATCAAACTCCAGATCCGGCACCCCCGCGCAACTAAGATGTTGTTGGAGGAAACCACACCTGCCTGCCACGAACCACAAACCCAGATCCACCATCTTCCAGATGTCGTCGATGCAAACCACAATCTGCATCCGCTCCTGGACTACCTCCAAGTTCCACGGCGGCGCTGGAGCAAACGCCGGCACAACGGCGGAGCCCGAGGACACAGTTCCACCACGAGGATGCCGCCGCCGCCGCACCATCCTTGCTTGAACAGCCTGGTTTCGAAATCTGCACGGGTCCTGAGGCGTCTTGGAGCATCTACAGCCAGACCCTTTTATTGCCCGTATACGTTCCGCAGATGGCCCGGTCAATGATTGATCAAGAATCTGTGACCTAGCCATACCCCTCATACTGGCTCTATATATCTGGGATGGATATGGGGAGGTCCGGACACGCTCGAACACTTCCGCCACGTCGGATTCGACCCACGTCGGCCCACCCTGACCGCATAAATATCTCCACCCTATTCATATCCGGACATAGCCACTGCCACTTCACTCCACTTCGAGTTCACGTCACTCCGCCTCCAGCTCCTTTCCCGCGAGCTCTAGTCTCCTCCAGTATTGCGGGCAGCAAATCCAACTCTGTCGACTGGCACATCGCCCCATGCAGGAATGAGGAGGAGACGGCCGTCCGCGTGGCTCTCCGCCGCTCCCAGGAGGAATCTGTCCGACCACAGAACGAGTCAATCCGGCTGGAATCCATTGCGTCTGTGCAAGCGGCGCGTTTAGATCTGCCCGCGCCGGTAGCTTGAGGCGATGGTGGATGGCCCTGGGCTGGCGGCACAACCCCTATGGTGGAGCCTCGTCCCTGTGACGTCGAGCTTCGAGTTAGAGGTAAATGTCGGTAGGTGGCCCAACCGTGGATGCACTGAGGATTGGTGTGGCATTTCAGCTTAATAGGAATGGTAGACTACTGATAAAACATATGGTGCTTGGCT